TTCAATAAGATCCATTCCTAAATGAAAACTGCTATCAAGTTCGCCATCTCCAAGTTTTACTAACCATCCACTATAAGCAGAGTCCTCTGATCTCATATTTGTTGTAAGAGACAACTTTCTGAAACATCCCCAAACATTACAGTACTTTAAACTTGTTTGTACTATGGCAGATCCCATAGCATGCGGTACAATACTGAGACATTGTTGAAAATCCCCTCCAAGAAGGAGAACTTCCCCACCAAATACAACATTCACATTCATAATTTCTCTTAGTAATCTGCCAATGGCATTTATAACATGACTGGATGCTTTGGTGCATTCATCAATAATGAGAAGTTGGGCCTTTTTTATAGTTTCAGCAACTTCCCTGTTTACATTGAGTCTAGAAATTGAAGTTTCATTTAATGGAATCGGTAATTTATATTGGGAATGAAAGGTGCTTCCACCAAGAAGTAAATTTGCAGCAATTCCTGTAGACGCTGTGGGTAAAACAGTACCACCACGACCTCTAATATAATGTATTAAAACTTTATAAAGATATGCCTCCACACTCCGAGGGCCGGTTCCTGCCTCAAACCTCGCCCTTACTGGAAACAGTTTGGGGAGAGCGCAGCTGTTGCTGAGAGGACCCAGGTCTCAGTGCATCCACGCTCCGAGGGCGGGTTCCGGCCTGAAACCTTGCACTCACGGGAAACAGCTTGGGGAGGGTGCAGCCGTTTCCAAGATGACTCCTGCAGGACTGACTTCCTTCCGGTTGGTTGAGCTTCGGTCATGACACGTTACACCCAGGGTTTTTATATAAATAGATTATGTGTTTTCTATATATTTTTAACACTGTAAGTTATTTTTTGCGGTCAGTGTTCATTTAGTGTGTGTATGTATATGTATATGCACACATACATAGGGACAATTAAATATTTTTATATTCTTTTTATTGTTTTAAAGTGTGATTCTGCTGCTGACACTGTTCTTGGTTTTCCTTTGACTAGAAACTTCTTTTGCCCTTATGTTTGAAGGATAGTTTCATTGGGTATTGAATTCTTGGTTGGCAATACTTTCTTTTAATACTTTAAAGGTATCAGTTTATTTGTCATCTGGCTTCCATCTATGTGCTGATATAATACTAAGGGCCTAGTGCACGAATTTGTGCGCCTTGAAAGGAATTGTGGGCCGCACGGCTGTGGTAGGCACAGGGGTGGGTCACAGCCTGGTCCCCTGTCTGCTGGCAGCCCTGCTCCCACCACTGCCACTCTCACATGCTGATGGCGCTGGCCCTGCTCGCACCTGCTGACAGCGCAGAGCAATTGGGACTGGCACCAGCAGCGGGTTCGAGCGAGGGCTGCACCGTGAGCGGCGGCTGCTGCCCTGATTGCCCCTCAGGAGCAGGGGGAGGTGGAGAAGCCCTTGGGTGATCAGGGTCAACAGCTGCCACTTGTACCTGCTGGTGGTGCTGAGTGATTGGGACCAGCACTGGTCACCGGCAGCGGGTGCAAGTGGTGGCTCCGGCGCCAGCTGTGGGTGAGAGCACCGGGCAGAACCGCAGTGCGCGGGAGCAAAGAATTTTCAGTAACCACCAGAGGCTCGCCCTGATGACAGTGACTGGCGCCCTGCCTTGGTCTGGTACCCCCGCTCACCTGCTCCACCATCCGACCATGGCCAAAGCCCACCATGTTCTGCACATGCCCCCTGGTGGTCAGCGCACGTCATAGTGACCGGTTGTTTGGTTCTATTTTTTCCGCCGTTTGGTCTTTTTGCATATTAGCCTTTTATTATATAGGATAGGATAGGATTGTCCTTCAAAAAGAATGTATTTTTGTTTTAAGAAATCCTTTCTCTTACTATGAAGACCATAAGTATGGTTGTTTTTTGTTTTGTTTTTGAGGCTCACTTGTGGACCAGGTATTTCTTGAATCTGTAGTTTAATGTCTTTCTTTACTGCTTTCATCTACTTTCTGCTTGGCTTCTCTTTTTTCCTCTACATAACTTAACTGGCAAATACTTTGTGGGGAAGCTAGGATTTCTCTATTCTCTGGACTTCCTTCTTTTCAGAAGCTCTTCCTTCAAGCCCTGGCTCTCTCCATAGCCCCAAACCCTAGATGATCTCTCTGCCTGGTTCCAGCCTCTCGTCCATATCAAGAATAAACAAGTGCCCTGCAGAAGCTGGCTTCCCCTCGGTGAACTTCCCTTGGTGTCTGGCCTGACAAGTCTTATATGCCTTGGTAGCTCCTTTACTTCAAACTGATTAAAAAATTTTTTCATTTAGCATTTCTGCTTGATCTTCTATAAACTACCTCATCATTGAGAAAGGCTCAACGACAAACTTTTGTAATGTTAGATATTTCCATCACCTAATTGGCTTCTGGGTTTTGCTGTTTACCAGGCACTCCAGGAATAGGAACTATAAGGCTGAATTTGCAACATGCCGGCTAGAGACTGTGCCATTGGAGTTCGGAGACTATCACCCACTGAAACCTATAACTGTAAGTTTTGTCAAAGGCCTCTCTAAATGTTATCCCTGTTCCATAAAATTATAGGCAGTATTCCTGGGTCTTTTCTGTCTTGACAGCAGTAGCTTCTTTTGCATGTTTATATCAATCAGTTTGTTCCCTGCCCATGTGGTGACCTCACCCACCATCATTTTTTTTAAAAAAATTAAGTTTTTATTGTTGAAATTATTAAATATGTCCCCTTCCCCCTGCCTCCTCCCCCCTTGACTCCTTCTAGCCCACTCCCACTGCCTTCCCTAGGCCTTCACCACACTATTGTCTATGTCCATGGGTTATGCATTTACACATATAAGTTCTTTGATCTCATTTCACCTCCACCTTCCTTCTGAGATTCACCAGTCTTTCCATGCTTCTGTGTCTCTGGATCTATTTTGTTCTTTAGTTTATTTTGTTCATTAGAGTCCACATATGAGTGAGATCATGTGATACTTGTCTTTCTCTGACTGACTTATTTCTGGAATCCCTGTTTTGTTACATTATCTATATGCCTATTCTTGTGCCAGTACCAGCTGTTTTGATTATGGTGGCTTTGTAGTATAACTTGATATCTGGTATTGTGATTCCTCCAACTTTCTTCTTCTTTCTCAACATTGTTGATGCTATTCAGGATCTTTTTTAATTCCATATAAATTTTTGGAGTGTTTGTTCTGTGAAATATGCCATTGGTATTTTAATAGGGATTACATTGAATCTATAGATTGCCTTCGGTAGTATAGGCTTTTTAATGACATAGATTCTACCAATCTATGAACATGGTATATTCTTACACTTTTTCATATCTTCCTCTACCTTTTTTTTCAATGTCCTGTAGTTTTCCAAGTGCAAGTCTTTTACCTTCTTGGTTAAGTTTATTCCTAAGTATCTTAATTTTTTTGTTGCGATGATAAATGGGGTTGCCAGAGGAGAAGAATCGAAGCAAGGAATAGAGAACCTGTTTGGAGAAATAATGGCAGAAAATTTTCCCTAACTTGGCAAAGGAAAAAATCACTCAAGTCCAGGAAACACAGAGTCTCAGCCAAGATGAACCCAAAAGACCCACAATTAGGCACACATTAATTAAAATGGCAAACATTAAAAACAAAGAAAGAATCTTAAGGGCTGCAAGAGAGAGACAGAAAGTTACCTACAAGGGAGCTCCCATTAGCCTGTCAGTTGAATTCTCAATAGGAACACTTCAGGCCTGAAGGGAATGTAATGAAGTATATAACAAAATGAAAACCAAGGGACTGACCCCAAGACAACTCCATTCAGCAAGGCTGTCATTCAAAATCACAGGTGATACCTAGCCAGTTTGGCTCAGTGGGAAG